TGGGTTCCTTTAAATCAGAGCTAGATAAGATTTTAACTCTGAGCTATTAGTTAAGTTCTCCCCAAGCGAGCTCGATGGGCCGAATGGCCTCCTCTCGTTTGTATAGTTCTTATGTTCTTAACTGCCCAACATGTATGAGCTATGGGTAAGACGAAGCACCTACACACTGAGGCCCTCAGGATGCATTGAACAATGCCAAGATACATCTTTTATTTCAAGCAGTTACTGTATTTCTGTTACTATATCTGTTAATTCTGTAAACCTTTGTGAACGACTGAATGAACAAGTAATGAATAACACAAGTGAAACACTGGTGTCATGTTTGTTCATTGTTAATGAACCGTGACACATCTTTTATGTCAAGTAGCTACTACATTAGTTGATGATTTGTACAGTAGTAACTGGGTTATTTCTAAGTATTTGTGCCCAGTAGAGTGTTATTCAGAGTCCTAACCCGGTGTGTCACATAACAGCCCTGGTTAAAAACCCCGACTAATGCATTCCTAACCTATCAATAACCCAGGTTACTGAATGATAAACCAATCGATAACTGGGTTTACTGCATCCCACACGGGATCAATAATCATTGATCCACGTTACTGTATGCTTACTCAAATGATGATCCAGGCAACTGGGTCCTTTTCAAAGAAATTATCATGTGCAAGAAGTACTACAGGGCAGGATGGAGATGAACATCATACCCAGGACAAAGCAATCATGGGGCAAGGGCCTTACTGCTGGCATTCACAGGATCAAAGAAGCTGGCACAGATCCCTAGCCTCAGAGCCACAACTCTGCATGCTAAACTTAGTCTAATTTAAACCAGAGGATTAAATATCTGCAAGATTACATACCCAGAACCAGTTCAGTGGAAAAAGGCAAATTCCATTGCATGATCTCACTGCTTAACCAAAGGGGTCTGAGATCAGGCTGTCCTCTGAGCCCATACAGGCGCATTCAACCAAAGCCCAGCCCATTCACATGTGCCTTGCCTTGCAAATAATCTGGTCATCATGATTAGTTTAACTTGCATATGCTATCAAGTCCATTAAAATTAGGGATGGGCCGATCATGCAGTTCTCTTTGAATATCTTCCAAGAGATTATACACAAGAGCCGAATGCTTAAAAGGGTGTGCGCATGATGTCACTGCAGGCGGAAGTCACTGCGCTCACACCCACTGAGTAGCAAAAAATTTGAGTGGCAGCGTTAGCGTTCAGCTTGAATGCTGCTAAAAACATCTAAAAATGTAAAATGGTGCGATTGACTGTACAAATAGATTTATATGAGCTATCTTTTCAGAGACTGCCAAAACCTAAATAAGAAAGTATCGGACGTGAATGGGTCACGTATGGCCGATACTCGATCCATCAAATAGATCTGGATCTGCACCGATACCTCTACATCTCTAGGTTAAATTATTTCTGCATGTCCAGGTTGTCACTGAGAACCTCATTGTACTGTAGCTGCCCCAGTCGCTCAGCAATCTACAGGTGTGCCACGTCACGGCCATCACAGAGGGCACTGTCACCGCACACCTCTGTGGTAGAAGACTTTAACCGCAAGAAGCACAGTAAGGACTTGCTATTCATGGAAACCCCACCCCACAGCTTCCCCAACGCCAGATTCAAGATCTGTCAGAGGCTTGTTGACATGCCGAGGAACGCCACTCAATACGACCCCAAGAATCGCATCTCCATCTACTCTGCCTACACATTTAAGAAGACTGAGGAAAACTGGAAGGTCGATTACCCCTGGATGTATGAACCGCAGGTAATGCACTCATAACCAGGCCTACCGTCTTGTCTATGGCATGATGCCACAGTTCACACGTAACCTTCTGTTCATCCTGTTCGCACTGTATTGTTGCTCCCTTTCTATTAGTGCCTCCCATAGGTAGCAATGATGCATGGGAATCTCTGCTCTTACTGATAATGCGCTCGAGTTTATACTGACCTTTATACTTAATACACAGATTATTGCACTCAAGCTGCCATATGACATAATGGTAGCTGATTGTTAAATCTGAAGTAATTTGGGGCTGTTTAAACTTCAGAACCTTAGTTTCTGCATTTCAAGCTATTCAAAAGCTATAATGTCCACATTTTGTGTTATGTTAATAAATTGAAAAGACACACAGAGATAAATCAGCAAAAAGCATCTCTCTCCTCCAGAGAGAATGGCACTGAAGCAATAGGGGACTGTCATTTCTCTGTTTTTGCCCATTGAGTGTGACAAGAGTTGACTCTTTCTCTCTCTCTCTCTCTCTCTCCTCTCAACATGCAGCCATTCCCACAGTGCCACTTACACATGAAATTCGAAGATAGTCAGGCTGTCCTGGAGCACTATGCCAACACAGTCCTGTATGAGCGAGGCCACCTGAACCCAGACCAGCACCAGTCAGACCCTCACAAACAGGTCGCCACCTACACCCTGACCAACGTCAAGCCATGGCATGAGCATAAGGACTGAATCCGGCTCTGTCTCAACAGCTACTGACTCGGCACAGCCTTCGTCGTCATGGGCGTCACCACGATGAGTCACATGACCCAGTGCCACAACCAAAAGTGTCTGGCCTACTGCCGCACTGGCTTTGACCGCGACCTGCCGCACTGGATTTGACTGCGACCTGCCGCACTGGCTTTGACCGCGACCTGCCGCAATGGCTTTGACCGCGACCTGCCGCATTTCCGTGCTGGCAAAGAATTTTTAAGGAAGGCAACATTGTCCCCGAGCTCTCCGCACAAGACCCGGAAACCTACCTCACCAATACAATAAACGTCCCTGTCTACATGCAGATCTTCTATAAGACCTGCATCACCCCGTCGCTTCTCTCAATGGATCTCGAATTTCCGCCGGTTTCTTTGATACGCTTTTATTGTGTTCTTACATTTTGTTTCGCTCAATGTACCACAGCTCGTAAAATTCTTACTTCTAAACGTACATGTGAAGCCACCACAGCAGAAAGAAGGGGAAATTAAAGACACATAACCAGAGGTGGAAAGTTCAGGTTCAGAAAGTACAAATCCAGGCCAAGATTTTGTTTCAACCAACCAGTTGAGTATAGGGTGGGGAAGCTGTTCCACAGAGGACCTCTCAATCAACCAATAACAGTGGGTCCCCAGGACTGGAGTTCAGAACCACTGCTTTATTATTGGCTGATTGAGAGGTCATCCCAAAAACCCGCACCGACCCACCATGGAATAGGTTCCCCACCCCTGGTATAAAGAGTCACAGTCCCACTATTCAACTGGCTGGTTGAAGCAAAATCTTGGCCTGTATTTGTACTTTCTGACCTGAACTTTCCACCTCTGAAAGTAACTTCAGTTTATTTTTTCTCAAAATAACTAATTTTCTGGTCAAATTTTTCTTTTGTGGAATCTTAGCCTCATGCTCTTTAACACCCCAGACATTTGCTAAATCTGCTTCTGACATCGTTAAAGTTTAATCAGTTTCAATTAAATCCATCTATCTGTACACAGACGTTTAGCACTGGACAACCTATATTTGGACTTCAGTTACGGATTTGAAATAGCTCATCCTTAAATTAATGAATAAACTATACATTACCTGTACTGTTTCTGCTTTTCCATTGCCTTCTTTTATTCTGCCTGTTATGCGTAGATTACTTTATAAATCCTATTTAGTAGTTTGCTAGTAACTGTGAGTAGACCTCACTCCAAAAACAGACGTAGCACAGATCTCAAATGAGTTAGCACTTCTTTTGAAAAACAGTTTTTCATATTGCAAAGGATTATACCCTTTTGACTTCCTCAAAATTAGGGAAGCCTCTCTATCGACGACCGTAAACTTGAGCTCAGTTTGCCTGGACTGGTGCACATATAATGAACAACATGAGCAGTTTACATACAAGGTTTCAGAATACTTATTGAACCCATTTCCTACTGTGGGTTTGACGGATAGAGGTGAACATGTCTAATCAATGAGACAAAAAGCTATGCTGCATTTTTGTGTCCTTAAATGGCTCTGTGACAGAGCCACCAGAAACTTACTAGTATTGGCCGCTAGATGGCGGCATTAATGTGTTTTCCTAATTTAATCTCGATAACGGTCAAATACTGGTAATAGTCAAAAATATTTTTTCCTATTTCTGTTTGTCCTTGCCTTTCTCTGATGTATTTTGACACCGTATTGTTAACTGCATATTATATTTAATACAGTTTCTCTAATAGATTCGTCTTTCCTCTCTCTTGGTCCCTGCCTCCCACCCTCGCTATCCTGTGTGATTCCACTGAACTCCTAACCCCCGTGATCTCTGCACCACCGACACCCACCTAGAAGCAAAGCATGCCATCCTGCACGTACCTTGTCACCCGGACCTGTACGGAGCACGCACGCGCGGGCGCACACACACACACAAAGCGCTCAGGACTGAGTAAACAGCATCTCTGTGATTGAGGGCAGGGAGGTGAATGGGGAATCTGGGATTTATAGACACACCTCTTACAAATTTCAGAGCAAACACTGGGTTTTCTAAAAACAAAGGACTTTTACATTGTGAAGAAAATATGAGTGTGTTTTTAGTCATCCTGATGCCCCAGACTGCGTGACTCGTGTGAAAACTACCTCTCATTACTTCACCTCATAATCTGAACACAAAATGCCTCTTTCATGTATTACCTTATATAAGCAAGTAATTAGGAACTTTCTGAAAAACAATCACAACATATTCTTCCACACAGAAAGGATCTGTTTACTTATTAACCGTGAAAAGGCATATATTTTAAAGAATCTTAAAAATATGGAATCTTTTAAGGACAAGGGTCCTGCAAATGTGATACTTTCTACTTTCGTTTTGTACCACATTCTGCACAGGCAATGACTTCCAACACTGGAAACGATTTACATTTAACATGTAAATAGATTATGTGGTATGATCAGTTCATTTACGATTTATCCTTCTGTGCTTCCTACGATGCCATACAAGAAAATGCAAAACCGTTAATACGGAACACTTTAAAAAGCTTCATGTGAAAATCAAGTTTTTTTCACGCTTACTGGTTATAAATCACTGTATTTCCAAAAGCATGAAACTGTAGCTACAAAATTATAAAAAACACATTCCCCACCTCTTAAAACCCCATTATAATGAAACAGCTTAACGTGGCTTAATTCACCGAAATAGCGTTCAAGAAAAACTAAAATTCTGTTCAATGAATCCTCTCTCAAATTTCTTTCAAACGGGAAAAAAACTTTTCATGTGTCGTTTTTGGAACATTAAGCCACTTTAGCTTTATTCCCGTTACGTGTTTTACAAAGTCCCGAACTGGAATGAGTTTTAGACGCACGTCCACCTACTAGAAATACAGCAGTCAAGAACCGCCAATATATATGACGATACGTTTATCAATGTGCCTTCTGTATGAGTCACAAGTTTATAAAAGTCACAAGTTCAAAGGCGGACGTCACACACGTGCGGTTACGGGTACCGGGAATATCCGCTTAGTATCACATATTTCCAAAGCCCCTTTCTAGGGTACAAAAACCGGCTGTAATGACAGATTCATTCTTTCAACTCCCTGCCTTCTAATCTACGCTGGCTTTGGTGTCAATGAATGAAAGCCAGTAAGTAGCCTATTAACAGATGTACAGATATACTAATGAATCATTATCAGGAATACAAATCTTGCGATAATTTCATATATTTTATATCTGGAATTTGACTCAATAGACATGTGATTTGTGTGCTTTGCGGTATTTTTGAAAGAGCGCAAATACGATTTATAAAATACCACCCGCGCTTACCTGAAAGTGCACTCAGGCGTGCACCATTTTTGGCTCCGTGCACAAAAACCTAAAGATCTGGACTGCCGTGCATGTGGGTCCAGCCCTTTTCGCCAACTTAACTAGCGGGTAAGGACTAGAGGAATTAGACTTACCCGATCCGTCGCAGGACCATGCTGGTTCACAGTCATGACCAAGGATCAAGAGGATCAAACAGAACGCACGCCGGAGCACCTACCGGACAAGAGCCAAAAACGCAATGCATAAAAAAACTCTAGCTGCAAGTAATAAGGCTTTAGACGGGCCGATGGGCTAGGGACGCAGAGCCTGCAAGGGGCTATGCGGATTACGACATGGGGTGAGTGGACCGAGAGACTAGTGCTGTCATATATCGGTTTTACTGTCTGTCCCAAGGGCGATTAGGGCGCGCGCCTGGCTCCAGTCTTTATGCAGCAATCAAGTTGGTCCATTGGCTTACGTCTTTATCGCCTAACCGAAAAGAGATAGTTAAGTCGGTTCCTTATCTCTCTTCTCTTATCTACGGACGCTGGGAGAGATTCGATGCTGTAAACCACTTCGATAGCAGTCTCGGTAGTGCGCGCCTGTGCAGCGAAGGATACCTGAAGGATAGAGGCGCCGGCAAACTCGAATTGAAACGTATCCCGTCCCAAACTCGCGTTATTTTTACAGATTATCTGTCCGTTTCTTCTCCGATGGTTTCGTTTTCTTGTGGAACAACTTGCGCTTTTTTTACGATGGTGGTATACGTGTTACTTAAGGGATGCAAATACTGAAACGGTAAATGGACGAATGTAGCTGAATACCGTAGATAAAAGGTCTATAAAATCTAAAAATGCGCATCTAAAACCATGCACTGTTTGCATAAGTCAGTGGTCATTAAAAACGTTTAATTCGTCTGGGTTATCTGGTGTGCTGTTACACTGAGCGCAGCACGTGTCCGAAAAGCGACCTTGACCCCTGATACATGGTTTCCAGCTTCGGTCAGTTGGCTGGAATGAGATTTTCAATTCGAGTCTGTACGCACATGCACACGCATTTACGTGTATGCATCAATTGTATTACTTCGTAAAATGTTTGTAGACTATAGATTTGCCGTAAGATTTCTTTCGTGGCAGTCTGAAAGCATGAGAGATGCGTGAGAACTGGCAACCCTGCTGATCGCTAAAAGAGCGAAGCACGTGGAGCGTGCCAAAGGGAGGAAAAGTCTTTCAGGGTCTTGTGGTTAACACCTTATTTACAGCGCGTGTTGCGTCCATAACGTAAGATTTATTAACGCATGGTTTTGTCCCTCAATAAATCTTTTTTATATATACTTTTTTGACCTGGGACTTAAGCTTGAATCGCTTCTTCCTAAAATTTAGATTGTTTGAAGCCAGTCCAGGTTTGTTTTACATTGTTGCAACTGGTTTATTGCGTTAAATTTTCATTGTTTATTTGTGTAGGAATCTCAGAAGATTTTCATTGTAACTCATTCTAAAAAGTGTTTTCGGTTTGGAACATTTGGCAAAAGTCAGCCACGTAAGATTTAGCCTCATATTTTCTCACTGTTGCTGTTCTTGCGTCCTAACCCAGGTAACTGAAGTCCAGTTTTCTCAGGATAATTTTTCTTGCCTCAAGAAGCTGTAGAGCAGGGCTGCCCATTCCTGCACCTGCCGATCTACCACTCTGCAGAGGTTAGCGTCAGCCTAGCTGGCTCTGCTAACGAGATGCTACTGAAGGGCCCGTTCATCTGTATCGAGTGTGTTAAATTTGGGCTGCACCCTACGCTCTGCAGGGGGGTCGACCTCCAGGCGCACGAATGAGCAGCTCTGCCGTAGATGGTCATTCTTTTTGTACTGCAGTCAATGTTGCTGGAGTCGACGGGTAGTGAGAAAGGTTTGCCGTTGTGAAACCCCTTGTAAACATTGGGAAAGCAAACGAAAGGTCTTCCAACAGGATGGAATGTCATCAAACACTTGTGCCATGTATTAATTTGTGATTGACCTGGTGGCAACATGAAGACGTGCATTGTACACTATACATAGTGACAGGCGAAACGCTGGGGAGGCTCTGGAAGCATCTCCAGATCGCGCTGCTTGTGGCTGACTCACCCTGGATGTTCTCCAGTGCTAAATACAACCACGGAGGTGAGAAGGTAAATAAAATGCTGGCAGAAAGCCGCGCTCCAAGCTGCCCTTTTACCTTTAAGCTCCAGCCAAAGTCCTGGCTCAGGTTCTGCGCAGCACATATTGGCCTGTCTGAAACCGCTGGATGGCCACATGCTGAGTGCCGTGTTCTCTCTCTCTCTCTCTCTCTCGCACTCGCTGCTGCACCGGTGCAAAAGTACACAGTCAGCCATGTAACCACGTGCCTCAGCCCGAGGCTATTTCTGTTACGCATATCGTGATGCATCCCAATAATACCCATGTCTGCAAACGTGGGTGCTGGAATATGTGGGTGCAAATGAGTGTTTTTTTTTGTGTGTGGTGTACAGGTAGATTGGGTAAAACCACTGAAGTCGCATGCTTCACTGTTTGTAGCATGTGAACAGGCATGGTGTACGTCGGGGCAGGTAGTCTCATCCACAAACGGCCAGTATGTATGCAGGATTTCGGGATAACTTTTAGGTCAGCTAATCAAACCCAGGTGTAAGGACTCTTCAGTCAATCAGTCCTCTAATTAGTAATTTAATTAGGGAGTTGAGGCGAAAACCCGCATACCCAATGGATATGTCTTGTGTATACATATGGAAATACGTGACATATCTATGGTGTGTCAAATATTCATGCAGTTAATAACGTGGTCTAGTTCATAATCACTTACAGATGCTAAAAAAAATGGCATGACATGGTCATACATGTAACATGTAAACATGTGAATATGTATGAGGAACAGAGATATACAGAGATGCAGCAAGTTGGCACAGAGATGGGATATTAGACTGTAACATGGTGTACATGGTAGTGTGTGTGTCTGTGAAATATGACAGATATATGAAGATTTATGTGCTGTAAAGAATATTAGAAATAAAGGAGATAAGTAGAGATCAGGTCTCTGATATCGAGCGGATATGTTTATGTGTCTTATGGAAAATAACATGCATGTCCATAATCGTGTAAAGCAGAGGGATATCAATACAGAAATTAATATCACAATTCAGTTACGATTTTTTATAGGTATTTCGAACCTTTGCCTCGAGTTATTAATTTATTACAATACCATTTAACACCAGCACTGACATTTTACAACATCTGCTGATTAAAATATGCTGTTTATATATCCTGTACCAAGTGCAGTGAAGTGTCGGTCTTCAAAATGTTAACGTACAAGTCAGTTGTTTAATTCTTTTTGTTCATATTTTTAAAAACAGAATTGGGCATTTTATGTACACACAAAGAAATAGCTAATGCAATCGGGAGTGAAAGTGTGGAACTGCCTCATTCAAGATACCGGCTCATCCTTGGTAGTTAATGGCTGTTAATGCCTGTTAATTAAATTTGCCTGTTTCAAATTTTAGTAGTTGCATTATTTTAATATGAGAGCATTACCCAGCAGGATACGATGGCAATATCGTGAAACATCGTGATTCATTGAATGACACTGCTATCACGATGGGTATTGTTGGCACAGCTCATCCCTACTGCCAACACTAAAGCATGTTTATGAATATGAGTGTAAATGAACAGTGCCTTTTATTCTCCTTTGATAGGACTTGTCACCGTGCTGCTAATGGTGCTGGACTGGACCCGGCCAGGATCGCCCTCTGCATTGAGGCCCATCTGTGACCCACTTGTCCTGGACCGCTTCATCCAGGAGTCCCGTGACATTGAGCTTGCTATGGTAAGGCCATTGACTCCCCGAGTTCCCCGCTGGTCATTAGCGCTGCAGAGTTAAAGGCGTGATGTCATCGTCTTCTCTCCCTCTGAAGGGGACGTGCCGGGACAGGTGCCGCTTGTCCGAGTCGCTTACTGTTCCGCGGACCAGCGTCGACTTCGCCGCCTGGGAAAGGAAAGACGTGAGTCTCCCCCCCCCCCCCTTCCAAAAAGGCTTAACTGAAAGTGTAAAACTGTTACACTGCAGAGAACCAAGGACCACAGGATAACAACAAATGGGGCCCTAAATAATATTAATTGACACTTTACAAAACCACCCCCACCTCTCTATAGGTGAGAGCAAGCTGGCTGTGAAGGGCAGCCACCTGTTGTGGTGCCCAGGAAGCTGGGGGTTAAGGGACCACAGATGTGCCAAGGCTGGACTTGAACCTGTGACCTTTTGGTCACAAGCACCTAACCTGCTGAGCCCCTCTGACAGGCTATCGATACTTTATTAATCCTTCATGGGGATTAATATCTTATCTTGCTCTCCACACATCAGAGACATACACATCAGAGTAAGCTTGGGAATGGAACACAGCACAGGTTCAGCCAGGGTCTCAAACCCACAACCTTTCAATCATGAGCACAGAGGCTTAGCCTACTGAGCCACCACACTGACCTTGACTGTCCTATGAGTTAAGTTGGGTAAATTAGCATAGCCTTTCACTGCTTTAGGTTCTTGGCATTATGTGTTTAGCCCCATGGCATAATGTTATATTCACCCATTTTCTGTACCCACTTGTTCTATTCAGTGTCGCAACAGTGCAGAGCATTTCCTGGAGACTAGGGGTGCAAGGCAGGGACTATCGAGCTAATCTGGGCTGTGTTCATCACAAACAGGTCCGGGAGCAAACCCAGGAGGTCCAGGAAGGACTGCGGCTATTGGGGCAAGCGATCGAGAGGGTGAAGGCATCCGTCTCTGACACCGCTCTCATTGGCCTCCTGGACAGCAGCTACGACAACATTCATAGCATCAAACAGGTGATCCGCAGTCTCGACATGCAGGTGAGTCGTAGGGGGTTCAGGCTAAATCCAGTAGAGTAGGGGGTCCCAACCCCCAGTCAATTGACTGGTACGGGTCTTTGGCTGGTATTCCAGCAGCTGCGGAACTCTTGGGGCAATGCAAAGGGGTTGGTTAATTATCAAAAATAAACTACAGTAACCCCTTCCCATTTACGATTTTGACATTCACATGTTTGGTTATTGACCGTAAACAATTAAACGGGAATATTTCTTTATTAGTGATACGTAATATTTGCTGCATACTATATCTTTAATATTAAAAGTCACTGCAGCTAGCCGCAGGCACCTGTCAGCTGTCTCTGTAACCGTCCAATCTCACGTTTTCCACAGTAGTACCATTTCAAACTTTTCTGTGCTGTCAATTTTCATTCGAATTTAGATATTATTGCATATTATATAAAAACGTCTAGATAGGAAATGACAAAGTAATTTGACATGCAAAGTGTATATTACAGTAGTGTTTGTTTAGACATTGCTAATAAATAGACTTTTTATTTGTTATTGGTGAGACTAGCAGGCTGTTATGTTATGTTATAATATTACTTTAGGGGGTTTCCAAGTGTTATTCACAAATTTACACATTTGTGGGGTTCATCTGCCTCTAATCCCCCGCAAATGATAAGGGGGCAGTGGCAGCGCCACCCAAGCCCAACCCAGTGCATGATTTTTTTTTGTACGACATAAACTGATCGTACCAGATGTATATCGAAAGGACCCATAGAATACAGGGAATAATGGGAGTGGAAGCAGGATGGGTGAGAGGTCATAGGTCATGCGGTAGCCAGTGATCGTGATGGAGAATCGCACCGGGCCGCACTGTATAGTACATCTGTCTGGTTAATGTTTTTGGGAATGTGCAAATGAGTCTGAGTGTCATGGTAAATGTACCTAAATAACAGGCTCTTTGGACTAATGTAGAACATCAAGCAGGGAGTGAAGATCAGTCCACACTTCCCAGCAGCTGAGCTGGAATGGGCCCAGCCGACATTGGGGTGGGCGGGGGAGCGCGTGAGGCCGCACGCTGTGCTGTCACGGGTCACTTGGCTGTCGAGCGGAGATGCTAGGCGGCACGTTTGCGGAACTGGCCCGCAGAAAGCGGGCGGTGGTTCCAGGAAAAGCAGCGGCGAAGCAAACGGCCGGCGCCAGATTAGCCATTAACCTGCCCTCTGCTGGCCTCTTTCTCAGTACTGTGTGCTTTTGCCTGGCCCCATGTGATCAGCATCTGAGTGCAGGCTGTGTTCTGCTGCTGACCATGTGTCTCTTTGGTAGGACTGGTCCCCCTCTTCCAGAACGTGGGACACTTGGACCGTGTCCTCCATGCCAGAACTCTTCCGTGTCCACACCAACTTCCTGCGAGGCAAAGTGCACCTCCTTCTGAGCCGTGCGCCAGCTTGCCGTCAAGAAAATCACTGACATGCAGCTTCCCAAGACTTGGAGTGCGACTGGGTATGACTGGGGCAGCCAGTGACTGGCCAAATTCAGGAAGGCTCTCTTCCCCATCTTTGGTTGCATGGGACAAATGATTACATTTTGAGATGGCACATGGGAGAGTACAGACAGTATCTGACATGTCCTGTCTTGAAGCTGTTCTGAAGCTCAGTTGCCTTGACATCCAGTTGCTCCGAACCTCAGTTGCCATGAAACTAAACTGTTCCGAAGCTCAGCTGTTCTGAACCTCGGTTGCCCTGAAACTAATTTGTTCTGAAGCTCAGTTGCCTTGACGCTCAGCTGTCCTGAACCTCAGTTGCTAAGAAACTAAACTGCTCTGAAGCTCAACTGTCCCGAACCTCAGTTGCTAAGAAACTAAATTGTTCTGAAGCTCAACTGTCCCGAACCTCAGTTGCTAAGAAACTAAACTGTTCTGAAGCTCAACTGTCCCGAACCTCAGTTGCCATTAAGCTCAGCTGTTCTGAACATCAGCTGCCCTCAAACTCTATTCTAAAGCTCATTTGTCCTGAAGCTCAGCTATCTTGTGATGTGTTTATCTAGCATCACTATTATTACCATGGTTTCTTACGTCTGTACTCTGTACTTGTGTGTTTTGTTTTTAGAGTTATTTTTATATAAATTTTATAATAATAATCTTTATTTTTCTATATTTCTGTAAAGCCTGGGGTTACATGATTTGACTGTATGTGAGAGAGAAGCAGGCATTATTGCAGATCTTTGATATTTGTATGTACTGTTACAATGGTGTTTTGCTATAGTGTTAGTATGTGTACTGTGCGCGCCTTCTCTCACCTGAATTCCCTGATTGTCATACCCTGCCTCTCCCTGGAAGGACGAGAAGGCCGGGCCTAAAGTGTCCTCGTAACCCTAACCGAGCTCACACTTAGAGAAGGACAGGCCAGGTGATCAGGCCTAACTTTGTTGCCAATTTCCTTTATAAATGACTATTTGTTTTTACTAGGATACATTTATTTAAGAGTTGTACAGTTTTGTTTTCCGTTTGACTTATTTTTTCCTTATCAGAATTTAGCACTTTGGACAAACCAGCTACTCTTCTGTTTAAAAAGTGTAGTAAAACTGTTTCAAACTTTTTATAAGAAAAACCACAATCCATTCTACCACAGGCAACTCAAGGTTTTTCTCCCAGGGGGTCCGAGGTGACGGAGCCCAACCTGGCATTCATTACAGGCCATGCCAAACTGAGCTACACATAAAAAGAGCAAATACATTTAAAATCAATTATTACTACAAGTTGATATGACTAACACAAGCCACATTATTCAAACGTGTTCAAATAGTTTTTTCATTTGACCAGTAGAGGGTGCAGTTGCACTCCATATAAAATCACCTATGCATTCTACTAAGGTTCCATCCCAGTAAGAATCACAGCGGGAGCAGAATACCAGTGTGCTACAGCTCATTTGACTCATTTGCATTTAGGTAGACAGAAAGATGAGAGATGAGAACAAGAAGTACCCCCTGCCCCCCCCCCCCCCAACATACACTCAGCTTACTGGTGTGGTAAAGATTATGAGAATATGTGTCTCATACACCAGTGTTTCCCAACCCTGCCAGACAGTCCACATTTTTACCAGAGCTATGAGGAAGCAAATACATGGACTGTCTGGAGGCCCCCAAGGACCAGCGATACTGCGATACACTACAGACACTCCTCACTTAACGACTTACCTGTTTAACAACTGACATATAACCAGCTCTCTGACCAGTCGGTATTGTACTCTATACGAGAACTTTGTTTGTGGAAACAGCAGCAAGGCATCTCAGCATCAAGTAATTATGCAAATAAAACAGAGTGATCAAGTTGGACTTTCCTTTAGACCTTCTCATTATTCATAATAAATAAAAACAATTACCTGTATTTACAGTAAGCAAACCTAAGTAATGTGTATTAGAGCTGATTTAATCAGTTTATTACAGTACACAAAAGTATAAACAAATTTACTAAAAACGTTATAAATGGTGCAAAAATGACATAAAAATAATATCTAAAGAAGGTTTACAGAAACCCACTACCATGACAGTATGCCTGAAGTATCTGTAAGAGGCAGCTCTTCACTTATCGACCAATTCACTTAACAAACGACGAGATTCTACGTAAACTACGTAACCCTAGGAACAGAACTCGGTCATTAGCTGAGGAGTGTCTGCACCAGATTGTCTGTTCCCCAGTTCCGGTCCTGATGGGCCAGAATCCAACACAGTTTGCAGATTCCTCCACTCACCCGCACCTACTAAACCTGGTGATTAGCTGAATAAGACGTTTGAACAGGGAAATATGCTAACTGTGATGGATTCTGGCCTTCCAGGACTGGAATTGGGGAACTCTGCTTTAAGACAGAGTCACTCACCACCTTCTGCCACCGTATGGACATGTGAGTAAAGCACATGTGCCAAAGTGCACATGTCCCACACCATTTTAATGTTCCAGGACATTAAAACACCTTTATTGTCAGGTTTATTTCTTCCAGTGACAGACTGGTAAAGTCCAAAATAAAATAATAATAATAAAATAAAAAAACTCTAGTATTTTGCAGAGCACTGAGTTAATTGAATATAACAGTACTTTTTGCCCTCTACAGGTAAATCTGTGACACTGCAACCTAATGCCTCAAACATTTCAGTCAAGGAACACAGAACATAAACTTGTCATATTTCCTTGTAAAATTAACAGGAACATAAGTTTTTAATCTTAACTTTAATCCACATAGATTTAACATGAAAATACCTCACAATCATGCATACATTCTAATTTTATACATAAACAATAGCCACAAATGTTCAAGAAGCTTCTATTAACACATCCTGCTACCACAACTGACCAGTATGTTTGAGAACTGTCAGCAAAAGAAAAATGCAAATTTAAGGTAGTTGCCCCAAGGTACCAAATTACACCTGTAAACCTTTATAGCTTATTTCATCCCCCTTCACACAAAGTACATTTTACACAGGCCAGGAGGCAAACGGCACAAAATTCACCAAAAAGATGAAAAGCTATAGGACTGAAATCATTAAAACAAAAGACAGAAACTAGAAATGGCACAGACTGATCTTGTGACAATCGTATGACTCCGGTATCTACCAAGAATTCGTAGGATCTCCTCAACTCATTGGTGCACATTAGTGATAGCAAAAATGACACTTCATGAACCATTTGCGGTACTTTTTGACCCCACTAGATGGTGTCAAAAGCATGCCTCAAAGCAAGCCAAGAGCACCATCTAGTGGGGTCGAGAAATACCATAAATACAAATACCATCATTAGTGGGCATTAAACACAGGCAAGGGAAGCCTGGTCTCCATAGCGACAGCTCAGCTCTCACTTTGGGTCCGGATAAAACACTTTAATGTGGATGGCAGAATTGTTGCGGGTGCGGGTCAGGACTTCTCCCTCATCTGGGTCATCTGGCTCAAGGTCATCCACCAGTTCCACAGTGGAGGTGTTTGCAGCCAGCTGCAGTGCCCCCTGGCTGCAGGCTTGGAGCTGCAAGGCAATGTTGATGGCACGGCTGATAGCCAAGCCCAGGCCGTGGATATATATCTCCCTGTGGCCTGATCCGGCTGCATCAAGCAGCTTCTGGCAGCGGGCTAGCTGTGCACGGAAATCAGTCTTCATGTTGACATAGACATCATTGCGGCGGCGTGGGAGCTTCCGGGGCAGCCGCTTGCGCAAGGTGAACTCCACAGGGTCCATATCAGCTGCAGCTGTGCCTGCCTGAGGCTGGGACACTTTGTCACTGGTCTCTGACATCTGCCTGGAAGAGGAAAGCAGGGTCACCAGTCACCAGATTTAGCACAACAGTTTCTCATATAGTTACTAAAGAATAATCTTACTCTTTACTCAAGAACAGAGCTGGATATTTTAAACAAAAGTGGTTAAGCTTCTTGTTCTTCATTAAAATTAGCGGAATACCTTCCTTAACAACTAATGTCATGTACCCCCTCCCCCCACCCTGCTCTATAGTAGACACAGTGGGAATAGTAGTGACAATACTTAGAAACACTCACTAGATGTCAGTGTGGCCCAGAGCTGTAACACCAACAGGAAGTTGTATGACTGTCAGGAACACCGGCTAGTGCTCAATAAAAATGATCGGACATCCTTTAAGAAGCATCTCTGGATGTGGGAACTAAAGTAAGATACATGTTCCATACCTACTAGAGATTACTTTTAATCAGAAATTTAGATTAATGGGATTTTTCAAAATGATCTTTCTGCAATATAGCCGATTAGGACTACCATGAATTGTAAAATAGCCATCCATCTTCAAAACAGCTTCTCCTTCAAAATCCCTTTAGGGTATGCCCAGGCGACCCCAAATCAGCTGGAAGATTTAACCCCACTAGAATGTCATGGGGTCTATCCCAGGGCCTCTGCCCAGTGGTTCATCCACAGAACAACAGATCAAGCAGGCTGACACCCTTATTTGATGTCAGGTGAGGTGGTCCAGGCTCATCTTAATCCAAAGAAACAGTGAATCTTTTAAAGTCCATGCAGATCACCAAATTCCTCATCCTGTCACTAAAAGTGTGTCCAGCAAGCTGTAGAGAAAACTCATTTTGACCACTTTCTGTCTTTTCATCGTCTTTCAAGCATTACCTACATCTCATGATAGACGAGAATAAGGACGTTGACAGATCGATAGACCATGAGTTTCGTCTGCTAACTTCTATTCATGAACTTGCCTAGTTCTCGAAAACACACAGAACTGTAATACCCACAATGTTACATTTTGGTCTATTTTCAGAAAACAGCGGGTATGATTTTTCCATACTTCTTCTACATATACATTTAAAAATATATGCAAAACCCATTTAGTTTATGCTCATCATCTTGGTTTTGGAGGCTTAATTGGAACATTTGTGGTTCCAGACAATAGCCAATATGCCACCATGCCGTACATCGGCGATGGACGGCTACTTCAAATGTCTAACTCAAGGGGTCCGGAGTTTGTTCCTATTCCACATCACTTAACTAAAAATCCACGCTCAAGAGGAGCCACCATTGCGTTAGCTATCTCCAGCGTGATACGCAACCAATGAAACAAACAATTCAAGTTAACGTACGTACAAACCAGCTACATCACCACATCTCCGCAGATTTAATGTTATATGAAGTTTCACACACAAACACAGACCACCCACCCGGTTGCGTTCAACTCCAGCACCAGTGTACCTCCTGCGGTTCGCATAAAACGGAAGATTTCGGTGTGACAGCGCATGTGGAACCGGAAGCAAACGCATGGGTCAAGAAAGCGGGGCTGTCGAGTCTCAAAGGACTTGGCTGGGCGAGGACGCTAATGGTTCTGGATTAAGCGTAGTTATAAAATGTAATAAATGCTGTCGTTATTATACTGATCAAGCCTCACTAAAGCATGTTGGTGCACAAAGTTAATCGAATGCTGTCCAGGCATTTATGTCCCAAGTACTGAAGCGAAGTATTGAAACTAAAACTATTTGTATTAAAATATAGTACGTAAATTAAATTCGTTCCGGAATGCATTCAAGCAATCAGCAGCCCCAACATCAAGACATTAACAATAATTTGAAAGAGAAGCATCTTAAATGAAATGGTGTAAGGGCCAGAAGAATGTCACGTGAATAGGGTCGTCACCCAAAACAATGAGCCGCCTTCCCGTTGGACTCCTCCGTCATGTGAATGGGGTCACCCCCAAAACAGTGAACGGCGCTCCCGTTGGTTTCCCCCGTCACGTGATGCGAGTTAGGTAGCCATTTTTGAAACACAAACAAGTGAAGCGAGACTTCATATAAACACGCACCACCGAGTAAATGAATAAATAAATACAACGCGCCGCATGGTTAGTTAACGTTACAAAACATTCAGGATGATAGTGTGACACGACTAAAAAGAGCGTACCCAAGAAAGAAGATTCAGTGTAAAAGGACGACTGTTTTTTTTATAGCTCGCTAACGCTAGCTGGCTCGTTAGCTAACTACCGTTAGCAGTATTAAGGTAAGCGCCGCATTTGCTGGTTATGTTCTGCAGAATTTATTAATAATGTAACACATCAATTGAAATGCACGGTATCGAGGTGGACGCCGTGTGTCTGATGGATTACAGTGATTACATTCCGTTACATTGTAGTCGTCATATGTACCCTGTTAAGGCCCAAACGCAGCGGTCTAGAGTTGTGGGTTTGTCCGCTGAGCTTCAAGGGGGGCGGGGCTGCAGCGACCACACCGACACCCCGCCCCTTTCGCCGTACTATCCGTATCTGTACAGCTTGCAGCTTTGATCTGTCGGTGTTAGACTCTGCGATGGGCTTTTATAAGCATTATCACTGAGTAGTTCGCTTTGGGCTGAGCTATCTGTCTCGACTGTGCAGCAAGTTAGGCTTAATGATCAATATGTCCGACCTGGCCTGACGCGTATCATGTCCGCCTGATTTCTAGCCGTCTTGCCGTTGCCGTCTTAGTGTTTTATTTTGTAACCAATGTCGCTTAGAACTAACTTTGCGCTTCTTAGGTCTAGTAGCTGTAATCAGCAGACTTGGACGCACTCGATGACCAAGCGGCTTAAATGACTAAACTGCTCTACGCCGTGAAGACCACCTGCAGAGGTGTAGATGGTGCCGCCTGAAGTTGGTTCCCCCTGCTACTTACCCTTATATAACTGCACAATATAGTGAAGAAGACAGGCGTATGTGCTTAATTTGTACTGAGATTCAGGCAGTTTTATGACCTTTGAGCACTCCTCTGCATGAGAATTATACTGAGTCGATTTGTTTGTCTGACATAGCCACGTAACACGTTACGATGATGACCGCCAAGCCGTGCCACGCGCCGACTTTGCGGTTACCTCGGCATTTTTGTACATGCTGTCAGAAATGTGTTGACCTGTCGTTCACCACTTCATGTACACAGTTTACAAACGTTTTCTCAAGGAGTTTAATACCTCGTACATGTGGTGTTGTCAGTTTGGATCTGGTGTTTGCTGTGAAATGTTTCTTGTCGTCGTTCTTGCCTTGGAGACCCAGGTTCTGCACATTAGATGTGTGTTCAGCCTCAGATAGCAGATGTGGGAATCTCAATGCAGGCAGCCTGTTTGCTGACCCCTCTCTCTCTTGGCTGGGCACAGCTTTCACAAGAGCCATCCTCACTCCACATACTGTTGTTTTCATAAGGTTGCAGTGTTTTGCCAGTAAGAATATCAGCATGTATTACTAAGTCATTTTGTTTCCACTGAGTTTACTTTGTAATGTTTAAGTGGATGAAAACTTAAAGGCCCAGTAACACAGCATGGATTGGCTGGAGCTGTGTTTGTGCTTTCAAGCCTCCCAGCCCGTAAGAGCCAGGATTTCAAAGGCTTCAACAGAATTTTAGTAGTGACTGAATATTTCCACCTGCTCTGGTTCTGGATATGTCTCTCAGGGCTAATTTGAGTACATTTAAATCCTATGTTTTGGATTTGTAAAACCCTTTCACATGTATGAGTGATTCATGTATGAGTTTGATTGTAAAATGTGTAATAACCTTAGATACAGACACAAACCTTTCAGTCCTGTTGTAATTTTAGGAATATTTAGAAAAACACTAGTCATCTCCTTTACTTTCAGTGCTGCATTTTTTATTCTGAAAGGTTGCAAGGCTGACTGTACATTTTTTTAAAAATAAAAACAAATACAAGATGCAAAGCACATTGCTTGTCACTCGAAAGTCTCACGCCCTTATATTTGACTAATGCAGAAGTACACAAAGTACTGAATAATGGAACCCAGTGCACAGGTCTTTTGTGCAATTTATAGAACAATGCAACACATATGACTAATGTTACTCTAAGCCTTTTGAGCAAAACCTCAGATTGAAGCACATTTACTTCAGTTTTTCGAAGTCTTGGGATGTCAGTGATTGTCTTTCTTGTTTTCCCGCCTCTCCCATGTGCTATGTGTCTTTCCCAGGACTAATAGCTTGCTATGGAAATCTGTCCACGCTTATGGTTGGATAAGTGTACGCTCCACATGGCCTGCCTTTATGCGTCTTTGTGTGTAACATGACATTTGTCCTCCAGGTCCATTCAGTTGAGATGTGTCCGTGTTCTTGCATGCCAGTGCAACAACGAGTGTCTGCACGCATGGTTCCCTGTCTTTGCACCTTATGCCAGAAAATCAGAGGGTATAATAGAACAAAATTTCAGTGCAGAGAGGGACAGGTTCATACACTTTTTAGAAATTAACGGTGCCTCTTTGTCACCCCCTGCAGGAGTTGGAGGGAAATCTCCACAGAAGAGTACAGTTCAGCACAACGGAGTGGTTGGGCCCCTGCTCATCAGCGTTCCCACTCTTTTGATCTTTCATTAAGCGGATTATATTACTGTGACTCTTTTCAGTATCACTAGTATTATAGTATTTTGGGGGGTGTTTTTTCTCTCCTATTTTTTGGGCTGGTGGTTTCGGTGATAAATACCTCTCCCCAGTGCGTCCATTCCTAGCTCCCTGACAGAGGCAGCTCTACTTTTTTTTGTCAGAGAACTAGCAGTGCCTATAGGCTCCGCCGCTGCACACCCTGGCCTGACCTGAGTCAGCCCAATTCAACCCGGTCCTTTCCTCTGGACAAGGTGAGTGTGGTGTCATCAATGGATCTATGTTACTGGGACGGTGGGGGGCAGGTTACCTGGCCTTTGACGCTTAGCAGGCTGGTTGTTCTGTTGATGCAGCTAATCCTATGTTGGGGACACTTTTGTTGTACCTTAAGGTGACTGTTTGATTTATGTGACTTCATATGCCACTGTGGGGTCCAGTGAATCACAGTCATGCTTCACTTTTGCCCGTAGACACTTAGTGCCCTGTGCACAAGGGAATATGACTGCTGAGACACTGAACTTTGGCCCAGAATGGTGAGTCACCTTGTGTAAAACATCTACTTCATCCTCCCTCGCTGATAATGGTTTTGAATTCCTGCAAAACTGGGGTCTGTAATTATTTCTGCTGTTTACTTAGTGACTGGATATTTTGTAAGTTGTCTGTTCAGTGGATATGTAGATGTGACTGGTAGTAGTGAAAGTTAATTACTCTGAGGGTGAGACTGAGTTCCGCTTCGCCCTGCCTGCACGTTAGGCTCCGTGCGCTGTCCAGTGGGGGGAGTGTTACGTCCCCGCCCCCTTCGCCCGCCATGCCAAAGTACAAGTTGGCCGAGTACCGATACGGCCGGGAGGAGATGTTAGCACTTTATGTCAAGGACAACAAGGTGAGTAGGCCGGTCCCTGAGTGACAAGCAGTTGCCATGATACTGTTGGGCAGCACAGTGCGTTAGCAGGCTCTGTTTGTGTTTACATGTGTTCGGCCCATGTGACGCAGGTTCCTGAAGACATGCAGGACAAAGAGTTTGCTGCTATTCTAAAGGATGAGCCTCTTCAGCCGTTGGCCTTGGTGCCCCTGACTGAGGAGGAGCAGGTCAGTTCACGTGGTCCTACAAGCACGTATGTAAAGGTCACACTGCAGGATTGTTCCTCACCCTGCATCCCGTCGCTCCTCACAGAGGAACTTCTCCATGTCGGTGAACAGCGTGGCCGTGCTGAGGCTGATGGGAAAGGGGAGCGGGGCCGCACCAGCAGGTGTGGCCAGGGGGCGAGGGAGCACGCGAGGCAGCCGAGGTGAGCGGCAGCTGCTGGGGCTGAGGGTGGGGGGTGCTCGTGTAGCTCAACAATACAAAGGTTGTGGGTTCAAATCCCAGAGAGTGTACATAAATTGTAATCCCTCACTGTAAGTTGCTCAGGGATCCACAGACCTGTCACTTGAGGCTCAAACTGGTAACCTTCCAATCACAGGCACAGAGGCTTAGCCTGCTGAGCCATGTTCTACCTAATATGGGTTAGCAGGATAAGTACTCGTTACATTGAAATGGATAAAAAGGTATAAAAAATATTTAAAGTGCAGGTTGCAGTTATAGCTTAAGTGTTTAATTGGTGGTGTTAGTGATTCTATTGGCCTGCTTCTGCTCAGCCTCTCTGTCCCGGCCATAAGGTTCCAGAGGCACCTACCTGAATGCAGGGAGGAGCTAATGAAGGAGGGAACATCCTCACGTAACATGAGTAGCTGAGAACTGTGTGCATGTTTCTCTCTTAGGCCGAGGGAGAGGGGAAACTGGGTTTTACCAAAGAGGTTCCGAGGATGGCGAACTGGGGTTCGGTCGTAGCGTGAGAGAAATCAACCGCAGCCAAAGCTGGGATGACAGGTGAGCTCTTCTCTCTCCGCTCCGCCTCGTTCTTCCTTCCTTTCCCTCCTGTTTCCGCCCGCCGGTCTGTGTTCGGACAGTCTTTAGGCACAGTATAGCGCTGATGTGCGGGAGGCCGCCCGTCTCGTGTCTCTGAACAGGGGCGAGCGGCGCTTCGAGAAACCCTTGAGGAGGGATGGGGTCCGTGCCGTCTTCGAGGAAGCAGGTTCGGCGCCTAGGAAAGATTACACACGCTCCGACAGCGAGAACTGGCGCACACTGCGGGAGGACCAAGAAGATGAAGAGGGCGAGTGCGGGGGCAGCTGGAGGCAGGCTGGGGCTCGCAGAGATGGTGCGCAGCTTTGGGAGATGGGGGTTTCTGCTCGGCGGCCTGTAGCCAGTCGCATGCTAATATGCATCATTGTGTTTGGTTTCGCAGATGGGGGTCCTCGCTCGGCGGGCTGGCGTGAGCTCGGCGGCTCTGGGGACGGCCGGCGGAAGAAGTTTGACTTTGATTTCCGGGAGCCTTTGGAGGGGGGGCGCCGGCGAGGTAGTGGCGACGGGCCGGACGAGGAGAGAGACGGGCTTCCTGAATGGTGCACGGATGAGGAAGAAGGAGAAATGGGCACCTTTGATTCGTCAGGGGCCTTCCTGCCAATCAAGGTGGGCGGCTCTGCCCTCGGGCTCCTTCACTGGGATCTGCCTTTAGGTTCCACTTCACCTCTATCCCTCTCTCCCGTCTAAAGAGCCCTAAGGAGCCCATCCCAGAGGAGCAGGACCTGGAAAAAGAGGATGGGGGAGGAGAGAGTGAAAGAGAAAAAGATGTGCAGAGGGAGCGGAAGGACAGCAGCGAAGAGACGAGTGAGAGAGCCATTGCTGGTAAACCTTTGGGGTGTGGAAGTGAGGTATGCCAGAGTCGTGACGGTCTGTCTCCAATGCCAACAGAAACGAAGAAGGCAGGTGCAGGGAATGAGGAGGAGGGACAGCCCATGACACCTGCTTCCGCCTTCCAGCCCTCTGCAGACCCCGTGGAACCACAGACACCCCACAGCCCCCCCACCTCAGCCAGCTTGAAGCTGAACGAAGGTGTGTGAAGCTTGTTCGAGGGAGGTGTGGCTTCATTGGGCATTTTTTCGTTTTCCCCGATGTTTTGACGTGTTGCCCGCTATTCCACAGCGAGCGTGCCTGGTACCCATGCTGCCCAGCTGAGCCCTATTGCCGCCTCTGGCTCCTCCTCCTCTTCTGCTGCTACACACCTCCTGCCACTAGGGGGTGATACTGAAGACGAGGAGGGCTTGAAGCACCTGCAGCAGGTACACCTGGCCAGCCTTTAGTCTGACATTCTCTTGGGTGGGCCTACCCTCTGCCAACAGCTCTGATTGAATCCCCCATTGTGTCTGTGTGTTTACAGGAAGCGGAGAAGATGGTGGCATCTTTGCAGGACAGCTCCCTGGATGAGGAGAGCTTCACGCAGACCTTGCAGGACAGAGGCAACACCGCAGCCGCCCTGCCGCTATCTCACGAGGCAGCCATGAAATGGTTCTACAAGGACCCACAGGGAGAGATCCAGGGTAGACAAACCCGCACATGTATAAGCAGGAACGCATTCTGTGGATCGGCTTCTGTGCTCTGAAGGTTTGACGTCCTGCTACGTTCCCACAGGACCATTCACCACACAGGAGATGTCGGAGTGGTTTCAGGCAGGCTACTTCAGCATGGGCCTGCTGGTGAAGCGTGGCTGCGACGAGGGCTTCCAGCTGCTCGGCGACGTCATCAAGATGTGGGGGCGTGTTCCTTTCGCCCCCGGGCCTTCCCCGCCCCCCCTGCTGGTGAGGCAGCCCCCTCCCCGCCTCACTGTCCCAGATGGGTGTCCTGGTCTCTGCTACTCAGTAACCAAAGTCTGTCCAACAGGGCAACTTGGACCAGGAGCGGCTGAAGAAGCAGCAGGAGCTGGCTGCGGCAGCCCTGTACCAGCAGCTCCAGCAGCAACAGCAACAGCAACAACACCAACAGCAGCAGCAACAGCTCTTCCACCTCATTAACAGGTAGCGCGCCTCCTCCGGGTGGCCCTTCGCTGTCTACAAGGCAATAGAAGCCTAACAACAAGCAAGCCGCGTTAGCCTAGCCGCGTTAGCCTAGCCTGTACTCCCTGACCCCGCCCCCTTCCTCCCACAGGTGCAGTGAGCCGGCTGTGATGCCTCTAGTCAGCAGGTCCATGTCTATGCCGGAGGCAGGATCTCTGTGGGAAATGCATACCTCAGCTTCACAGCAGTCCGGTAGAGTGTCATGATACCAGAGGGGTCACTTACCCCGTCCTTTAGCTTTTCTCTGCTTTCCTTAGTAACGTTTGTCTTGAATGGACTGTCCCACATTAGTCATGCCCTAATATCCTCACCAACTTCCGTAGGCGGTGAAGCCAGTTTATGGGACTTAACCATGAATTCAACTCAGGGTCCAACTCTCGACCAGCTGCAGAAGGTGAGTTATGGCGCCCCCCAGCTGGGAGATTTTATGCTGCGGGTGTTTGTTATGGGGTGTTGATAATGTGACCCACCTTCTGCTGTCAGCTCCAGGAGCGACGCGATGCAGAGCTCAGGGCAAAGCGGGATGAGGAGGAACGGAAGCACAGAGAGGAGAAGAAGAGGCGCGAGGAAGAGGAGATGTTCCGGAGGAAGCAGGTGAGGCGGACGCAACTGGGAGAGGCGGAAGCCCCTTCCCCACCAGAGGGCGCTATGCAGATAAACCTGAGTGTGGCTGTCGCTCTTCAGCAGTGCCGTCAGCAGCAGGAGCTGATCCTGAAACTGCTCCAGCAAAGCCAGCAGCAGGGCGCCCCGGGGTGGGCCGGCCCAGGGGGCATGGCGGCGGTCCTGTCCAAACAGCTGCAGCAGGAGGCCGAACGGCAGCTACACAAGCAGCAGAGGGAGCGGGTGAGCAGGGGGACTCGTCAGAGGGGGAACACCGACACCCCTCACTGTATCTCCCCTCCCATGCCTGACGCCTACCCTCCCTCTCTCCCGCCAGCACGGGCCACTGGGGGGGCAGTGGGGTGACACTGCCGGGGGCCTGTGGGCCGGGACGGGCCTGGAGGGCAAATCAGGGGGCAGCGGCGGGATGGGTCTCTGGGAAGAGGCCATCAAAAATCAGACAGGCCTGCGCAGCCTGGGCCTGAAGAACAGCCGCAGCAGCCCACCAATCAGGTACGCCGCGTCTGCCTGTCCTGTGTGTGTGTGTGTTTGTGCGGGCTTGTATTCCCCACGCCGCGGGGAGGAAATGTCCCCATAAGGTGATAAAACCTGTTACTCTTTAGCTAGTTTTTCCTAGTCCCCACAATATAAACCTCAGTTTTATAAAAATCTGTAAATGCAGTCAAAAATCTAAAATAGCCTTGAGTCTTCTATTATGTTTGGGTAGTTATGCTTAAGGTTACAGCTGGGTTAAGGTTGCCATAGTTGGGAGCCCATAGAAATGAATGGAGAGTCCATATAGGAATATGTGAAGTGTATGCATGTGTGTGCAGCGAGCCTTATCTGATGGCCCGGCGAAAGCGCACAGAGGAGGAAGAGAAGCTGCTGAAGCTGCTTCAGGGCATGAAGCCGCAGGACGGCTTCACCACGTGGTGCGAGCAGATGCTGCACGCGCTCAGTGCCAGCACCAGCACCTCGTCCTCGCTCGACGGTAATGCCCACTGTCGGTGCCCCAAACTCCCATCTCTCTCTGTGAAACACAAACGCTCGCATGCACACTGGCTCATGAAGGTCCTGGTCCTTGCTCAGGACTAGAGGACTTGTCCTCTGGCTATCTCTGCATGCTTTTTGGAGGTTCTCCTGACCCTCTGTTCTGTATGTTCTTCTGTGAAGTGGCCACCATTGTGGCGTACCTGAAGGAGGTGGAGTCTCCTTATGAAGTTCACGACTGCATCCGCTCCTTCCTGGGAGACACCGTGGAAGCCAAAGAGTTTGCCAAACAGTTCCTGGAGCGCCGTGCCAAACAGAAAGCCAACCACCAGAGGCAGCAACAGCAGGTGAGGGTGACTGGGGTGTGGCTGGCAGGGGGCGGAGTCTGGGGGGCTGATTAGGTCACATGTCGCACGTGCTTCTTTTTTGGGAGGTTACCGATCTTGGCATGTTTATCAATACCAAGAGCACGAAGAACGTACTTGTGTTCTTGGCCTGACCGTTCTTACTAACTTAGAGCACAATGAATCATGGGATTGATCTCATTGGCGAGGATGCAACCGAAGCATGCTTGATATTTGAGGCTGGGCAAGAACATCCAGGGATTTTAACTGTATTTCGTACCTCTGTTTTTGAGCATTGGAGCTGTGCTTCATCACTGGTCTTGAGAACAAAAGGACGTTCAAGAATGCATATTGATTAACCCCCCTGGTATTAAGTCTTTCTCTATCCCTTCAGCTTTCCAAGGAGTTGGCAGGACTGGCTATCAACTTCCCACTGCAGGCAAGTCACCCTCTCCAGCCATCTCACTTACCTGGGTATTTAATAGCCAGGTAGCTCAGATTTTAAGCAGGGACACTATTTAGGAAGCTTTTCCATCCGTCGTCTTTGCCTTCACCGATTTTATAGTTACTCATCGGCCTCGATCGGTGTTTCCCAGCCCAGTCCTCAGGGACCCAGAAATGGGAGGTAGCAGAAATGTGTCTGGGGGTCCCTGAGTTTTAAGAAACACTGGCCTAGACCTTTAAGAGCATCATGGGACATTAAGGGCAAATGTCACAGTTTGGGTAATAAACACATCCCACCTCCCCCCAGGACTCCATGCGGGGTGTCAGCTCTAGCGCCCTGCAGTCCATGTTCCAGTCAGCCCACGTGGGGAAGGGGGGGCTGTACGACAGCCAGGGAGCCAAGATGAGGAAGAAACAGCCCGTGATGTTGCACTCGGACCCCAGTATTTTAGGTAGGTTTGCAGTTACCGCTGCCCCTTGTGATTTGCACGTGTTCCCTGCCAGGACCTAGTGAAGAGTCCTACCATGGTCTCGGCACTGTCAAAACGGCATGTTCCTCTACAAAACCCGTTTGGCTTTTTGTCGTGCGTCGCATCTTCTGGTTAAACAGGGCACCATGGCCTCTGGGCCAGACAGAAACACTGAGGTTAACGATGGAACATTTGTACGTAATGCTGTGTTTGATAGAAGGGGTCAGTCTTTGGCTGATCCTCATGCTGCCTAACCTCCTCCCCACCCCCAGGATATTCGTTCCATGGCGGAGACCATCTAAGTTTGGGCGAGATGGAGCCAGTAGAAGAGTACTGACCCAGAGCAATATCTTCCCGAGGCCTTCAGACAAGCACACCGGCCAGGCGTGTGCACAGCTAGGGCAGAGAGGACAGCAGGCCTCTGCTGCTCCTGGACCAGCAGGCCTCTGCTGCTCCTGGACCCAGGCTGGCACTTAATACAGTAAAGCACCTTAAAATGACGCACTTTATCCTGGGGGGGTTGAGTATGGGACTCTGCGTGTGCAGGTCGCCTGCCTGCCTGCATGCGAGCGAGTGAGTGTGTGTGTGTGTGTGGTGTGTGTGTGTGCGCGCGTGTATGTCGGTGTGTGTATATGCTCACACTATATGAATATACACACATGGGCGCGCAGTAACTGGAATGCAGACGAGTGACTGCAGTAGGGGGCATTTTCTACTTGTCAGAAAGCAGATTCTTTCTTGAAAGATACACTGTTTTGTTTTTTTTAAGTTTATATAAAAGTTGAAGCTATAAAATGCTGAATTTAAAAACTTGAAGATTTGCACTTGTGTTAAAAAAATCTGACTAAATTTATTAGATGTAGAGATGGATATTTTTGTTATTTGTGTGCACGCATGTTTACGAGAGAGTGTGCTAACTACTCTGCACAAGTTTTTTTTTTTTTGCTCACTGAGATCATGTACAGTACAAGGCCATTTTCATTGTGTTCAGATGAAAATCTGAGTTCTTGAAGTGTATGTATGTATGTGATAAATGCTGGGTGGTGGGGGGAGGGGTAGTAGCTGAAGCACCACCAGTTCCCGCATTCACCTGTTCCTTGGTGCTGTAGTGCTGGTGTATGCCAGTAGGTGGCGACTGCGCTCTCCCTTTAACTTTCCTGTGACTGCCACTCCAGGTTGTGCAAGTGTATGTCCCCGTTTCTCTCAAATCGTTGTGTAACAAATTTGTATTACTGTCAGTCTGTGCTTCATGTTAACCATGCAAAGGTGAGTGTGTGTGTGTGACAGTGTGTGTGTGTGGGCGTGCCCAAAAATGCGCGGTGGTTTGCCACCAGGCAGGGCAGTGCTTTGGCAAGGTATTGAAAGTATTGGCCTGAGACTTGGGGCACTTTCAGGGCTGCTACCTTGTTTTTGTTTTCATTTCATGGCCTCTGATAAATGCATATGTTTTTGTGATGCTGAATGTATTCCAAAAAAGACAAGAGTGTGTGGAGGCAAGAGGGAGCAACGACATGCAGAAGCGAACTGTACAGACCGCAGGCTGTAGAACGAGGCTCCGTGATCCCGGAACCCGTGGGCTGGGGGAGCGGGACCGCGAGCCCCCGCCACAGGGCCCCTGCCACCCGCTTAGGGGAGTCCTGCTTGTTTACACACATTGATTTCAGTTGGTGCATTTTTGTTTCTTCTGAGACGTCATGAATTGGAGATGAGACAGGCGGAGTTGGATGTACAGACAATACTCCACCCAGCGATCACGAGGGGATCTGGCCCTCGTGTGGAACATAAAGGATCTGTTTCTCATTAAGCTCATATGGAAAATTTAGGGTGGGGTGGCAGTTCATTGTGTCATTTATTTATTTGCTGTTTTTTTTTTTTCTTTCTTTCTGTGGTTTGAAAAGTTAGTGCAGGAGGATTTTTCTCCCTAAATGAGAGTAAAGGAGCGTTTGGTACTTCACCCACATTACTTTTTTTTTCCATTTTTGTTTTTTACCATATCCGTTTTTTTTTTATTATTATTTAACTTCTTACCCACCTTTTTTGTTTGAAAGAAACTAAAGAACATTAGAAGCACGGAAGTTTTCTCCACCTCTGCCAGCTGACGGACAGCTTGGAGCGCGAATGGCTGGTCCCTCAGCTTCGGAGCGGCTTTCTGCCCTTTTTTAATGAGTCTGCCCAGCTCAGATAGATGCCCCCGGTCAGGCTGCCAGCTTCTCTGTGCCCTCGGCCAGCTTGCGGAAAGGGAAGAAATCCTCTGAGGCGCAGTGCTGGGGGATGGTACCCAGCAGTAGTACCCCGGCCCGTCAAAGGACAGCGACCAGACCTGACGCAGCTTACTTACAGACCAGTACACACGTACGCTGAATGCGGGCGGTTGAGGGGGGGCATGTAACATATATGTGTTTTATGGGGGCAGCAAAGGACTGGAACAGCCCCCACCCCATCTGTCGCATCATTTCAGAACCTCAGCTTCCTCCTGAGAACCAGTGAACAGCAGGCTGCAGAAGACTGTCTGAAGTGAGGACCTTACTGGGACATCATGTCAGGTGAGAATCGCCGCCTTGGCTGATCTGCTTCCTCAGTGCCTCCCTCTGCTATGCAGCTGGAGACGTTTAGGCCTAATTCATCATCTGCAGAATTGCTGAATGTTTTCGATTGTATGGAAATAATTGTTTTCATTTGTACTGAGCTTCTGTCGTCTTGACTACAGGTCTGCAGCAGTGCGGCCTTCTGGAGAGAGAGGTGCTTCTACCCAAAAAGGCGTTCTTGGAATGGGGCAGAGACTATGTAGAAGAGCTCAGGCAGAATATCCCTGGGGGGGGGGGCACCTCACGTCAAACCCTGCAGTCTGTTACTCCAGTTGTACTGTGGAGGGGGGGCAGGGCAGACAGACTGTGCCCCCTACCGTAGAGGACTCGCACAAGGCTTGGTCTCAAAAAAAAAAAACGAGTCTCTGGTTCCTGACACCAGCTTGTATTTGTAAATAATGTAATTTTTTTTTAGTTGGAGGGGGGAGGGGTGATAGTGATTTAATTTGGTTGACATGCCTTAACTGTATAGAAACAGCCTTGGTCCTGATTCTCACTGATTCTTGGTCCTGTTTTTGAGGTGAAACGCGGCACGTTGCTCTGTCCCTCTTACAAATGCATCTGCGTACTGTGTTGCACACTGGCTTACAGTCCCGATGCGGGTGCATTCACGAAGGGCCACCTAATTCTGTGAACTCCTATGTGTGCTCTCATTTTCAAACGCAGTTACGTGTGGCTGTGCTACCCACAATCCTCTGGGCTGTCCGGTCCCAACTGGAGCTGAGCTGACTGAGACCTTGGGGGGTGACGGCCACGTCAGGCTCGGTCTTCATGCTGATGCCATTGCAGGGAGCTCAGATAGGAGGGAGTGTAAGAGAGCATCGTCTCCATAGGATGGGGAGCCTGAATCTTTTAGCAGAAGCCTCAGGCGCTGCCCAGTGCGATTTGCATCCCATCAGTCTTCTGTGTTCAGTATAGAAAAACTGTCTTCTGTGACGCCGAACTGAATGATCTGTCGCTGTCTGTCTGTCTTGTTCTGAATGTGAATAATTTCCTTTCTGTTTAGCATTTGTTCCTGTGGATGCTTGTTTATTTTAAGCATTTTTTTTTTTATTATTATAAAGTTGGGGGGGAGGTTTTAGTGATGCTTGGGCAGCAGTGTGTTGGGGGGGGGGGATCTGTTAGTATTCTGCATTCTTTCAGGGATGTGTGTTGCTTCCTTGCTTGTTTAAAGATGCCCACTGTGCCCTCAGCACTGTATCCTGTGTGTTTTTTTTTCTTTTGCCATGTCAGAAAATATTGTCTTGTTCCTTCTGAGCTCCTGCTGTGAGACCATTTTAAGGTCTGGACAATTCCATTTCAATTCCATTGGAATTATTGTGAGACTGGACATTTCCTAGAATTGCAGTTTGCTGTGGTGCTAAAATGGTGTTATTGTGGAATTGGAGTGGAATTGTGCGCTTCTGAGGTGTCTTGCGGCAAAAGACGTGAATTTTACAGAAAGGAAATTAAGTCAGAAAGCATTCTGATATTAACAACCACCCCCCTCCCGAAATCAGTCGGCTCATCTCCACTGACTTATAAACCCTATGAAGGTTTTAAAGATGGAACACAAATAACACGGAAAACAAAATGAACAACCTACAGTTAAATAGTTTGAGAACAAAAATGTAAAACAATAAACTGATTTAAGCATAAACCTGGCTTGTGTTTGTAGCTGCTGTGCTGAAGCCCAAGTCTCGTTTTTATGGTCGTCTTCCCAGTGCAGCACGTGACCGTGTCCTCAGCTGATCTCTTCCTTTACAATTCTAATGTGGCTTGCCGGATCCCGCTTGCTAGTTTGAGGCTAGGTTTTATTTCAACAGTCGGACACAAGTTTTATAGGTTGGCAGAGTTCAGGATTTGATCTGCGCTTCTGGATGGGACTACAAATGATTTTAGGAATTCAACAAGGTGTGGTTTCCAGCAGAGATGTTAATATTCTGTTTGGGTTGGTCTGCGAACAGAAGGTAACGTCAGAACTATTGTAGATTATTTGGCCCTGTATTCACATCTGTTGCAATGCAATGGCTCCTGCTTACATTACCACTCCAGTGAAGAATACTACCGATAATATTGTGTGCTCTATGTGAAATTAAATAAAATGCACACAGATTTTGAAACGTAAATTAGCATTTCAAATATATCAAATTGTTGATATAAATTGAATAAATACCCGCCCCTAAGTGATGGTGCATTGATCGACCCCACGTCGCTGACACCTAATTTCAAGCAGTGGTACAACGATACTCTGAATAATGTAGTTAGTACGTTCGTGCCAAAGCGCCGCCTCCGGCCGCACGGCGGTCGCACTGGCGGCTCTTCGTCTAGCATTCCGGCTGCCTGTGGCATTTCTATGTGAAGGAACAACAGTCCCGACACCTACATATAAACGGACTTGTGTGGTCCGCCGCTGCGTCAGACTCCCCGGTCCCTGTCTAAACACCAGTTATACACGGTGATACCAATGTGGCGCAGCCCCAGATGTAAACCTGGAAAGGATACGACCTCTCTCCTTTCCATCAGCACGGCGTGAGGACACCGCGTGCACGTCTGTCCTTTTTGTAATGGGTGAAGTTGGCGCTGTCCTTGCGGCGCGGCTCCGCTGGGGGCGCCGTAGCCTTTCTTTTGTAATGAAGTCGGGTTTTCCAAACGTGATTCCGTCGTTCGTGATGTGTGTGTGTCTGTCAACCAGAGAGGAAGAACGGCGGTGGACTGAGTGCCGAAGTGCAGCGCCCGGCGTCCCGGGGGTCAAAGCTCACATCCAGAGGAGAAGGGGTGAAGGGAGGTTGGAGGGGCGAAACGGGGATAACAAGGAATTTAAACATACACGTGACACTGGTATTTAAAAGCACGCGGAGGGAAAGTGTTTCCGCCGAAGACAGGAGCCGGTTTCGGACCCCCCTCCCCTTGTAAAGGCTCTCTCTCACTCACACCTCTCACTCCCTCCTCCCAGCTCCTTTACGAATCTCCCTCCCCCTTTCCTCATTCAAGCCGCTGGACCGTCATGTACCCGGAGCGCTCCTCAAGTGCGGGGATCTGAAGGCGAAGACGCCGAGGGAGAGCGTGTGTTGGGGGGGCCGAAGATCACCCCATGAGCGCATCTTTTTAAAGCCCCGTTATGGGAAATTATTTTGCGATTACGGTATTTTGCTTTTTAAAAATAATGGTCTTTTAACTTGGCGGTGTTTTAACCCTGCTTTTCGCCGATGATCACTACATCTGTATTCAGATTTGTAAATATTTACGATCGCCCTTTCATAGGGGCGTAAAAAGTAAAACGATCGACTTTCCAGCAGAAGGGACCGGTCGGAAATTTGCGAAGAGGCGAAATGTAAAGACTAAACAAAAATAAGAGTTGGAAGTACCCAGAAAGGGTGTGAAAACAGCCCGCATCACAACCAGTGCTTTTTGTTTGCACACTTCGTGTATATCTGCACATCCATAAGAAAGACGAAATAGAGGAGCCGGGCTGAACCCGAGGAGGGACAAAGGTACAACACTTAAGAAGAGTGTTTTGTAAACGAGAAAGACCTGTTCGCCCCCATTTCCCCCACAAACGAGACTGAATTAAATCCCGAACTCACAAATGAGTTTGTGCACGGCGGCGCAGCAAAGAGCCCGTTTCGCGAAATCCAGGCGCTGAAGACACTGCGCGTTCATCCAGGATTCACGCTTCTCCTACCGCCAGGGAGGTCAAACTTAAAATCATGCCTTTTTCCAGGGTTTGGACAGCTCCATAAAATATTTTCTTTCGCAGTCGCCGCGTTTCCTTCATATCATTGCAAACTGCGGTCCGCTGGTGGGGCACTTTGTCTGAATCTGCCCCAGTCCGAACTGCCCCGATTAGGGGAGCCGCGATCCGGGGATGGCGACGCCGGCTCGACATGGTGCAAGTAACCTGAGTCTCCTAGCCGTGTTCCTTATGGATATACTGGGCATTTCGGCCACCAACATGGAGCCCATATACTGGAATTCACTGAACAAAAGGTGAGCGCTGCACTTGCACACACGGTACCCGTAAGGTACTTACGGAGGTGTTTCTCTTTACTGAACATGTACACCTTCAAAATCTCTTCCTACCCGTGTACAAACGTCGGACAAAGTGTTGATCCTGTTCAGGTTCCATAAAATGTTTCCGAAAAACAACCCATTAAATGTGTTTCTCATCTGTTCTGTCGTGTCCGAATTTGGACTCCGATGTGGGTACTTTGTCCGGTGATGTGCTGTTGGACGCATTATTCACAAAGTACAGCAGTTTAGTCCCGGAGGCGTGAATTTGACACCAAATATTTAAATAGTCGAAATGCATTGTCTGCTTGTAAATCTACTTTTGGGTGCGTTTGGTGAGCTGCCTTTAAGCCAGGTTTTACAAGGTCTTCTGGACAGATGCGCCCTGCTTGCCGAGAGAGGTTGTAGGTGAAGGACCAGGTTAAGGGACATTTGAGGGAATCTTAGTTCCCACAGGGACAGGAATAGCCTTTGATCTTATCTCTTCATAACATCTATCGTCTCTACTTTGAAAAAAGTGTGTGATGCACAATCACACTCCACATCGTCGCGCCTCTTCGGACTTGTTGGCATCGTGGGTATGCCTTTGATTTCTTCGGCCGCTGAACCATGCAGACGGCGCCCTCGGGAGTTGTCCACTGTAGCACCAGGCTGCCAGTAATGCAGTGTGTCTCGTGGTGAGCTGTAAGCGATTGGAAAAACCAGGGTGACTGTGCGTGGTTCTGTCACACAGGGACCCACTCACCACGAACCGTCCGATAGCAATGGCCATACTTCCAAACCCCAACAGCACCGAATGAATCCGCAGGAAGCGGGAAACGAGGATGCAAGGTTCTAGGTGAGGGATGTAGGTCAGCCCTAGAGAGTGGAGACCATTGCGTGGGTGTGCTTCATGTCCCTGAGGTCTGCGTGCGTTTCACGGCATCTCCATGGCTTTGGGCTCCTGACCCGGTCATGTCTGAGAGATTCCTGCCTCTCTTATGGCATGTTACTTGGCAAGATATCACTGCGACGTTCCCTTGAAGTCATGCGCCGCTTTGCACGTCGTCAACAACCCAACGCGCGTGACATGTTCTCCACATCCCTCTTAACGGGCAACGGGACGACCCGAGTTCCTCCACCCTGCACTTTGGGGCACATTGTAGTACAACCCCCCCCCAATATGCATTAAAAATTAATCCCCGGCATTTCAATAATTAATGTACCGGCAGCTAATTGGTTGCAGATAAAAGGCCGATTAAGTAGGGTAAGTGTTTCAAATTAAAACATTTTAGAAGTCAAAGGAAGAAAGAAAGAAAATCCCATAAGGGCTCAGGGACCGGGGCTGCGAGAGAGATGTGGACGCGGTGTAAAGACCTCACACTCCCATTTAGAGGCGCGTGTTGGGCACAGTGGGGGGTGGAATGCGGAGTAGGTCATTTGCACATGAGTTGGAAGCCTGTTTTGGGATTTAGGAGGGACATCTCAGGGGGTGCTAATCGAGCGTTCTCCAACACCTGACTTGTCATAAGTTTGCTTATTTGCTCAGCTGGGTTTGCTGCAGGGGGGCAGGCCTCCTCTTGTAGGTGAACCTCCACAGTTTCGGTTGGAGGTTCTGGGTCTACTGGTTTTTTTAGCCCCTAGCAGGTGGCCCTTTTGTTAGCAGGTGGTCGGTGGTTGTTCTGCAAGACATGCCCCCTTCTTATCCTGCCCCCCCCCCCTTTTTTTTTTTTTTTTTTACATCCCTCTTTGTCTTAGCATTCTCAGGCCTCTCCACCTCCTTTGTCTGGGGGAGGGGGGGTAAGAACCATTTTCCCACCACAGATGGAGTCACTTAGTCTGCACGCCGCGTCGTAAACCGGCCGGATCTCGCCCCGCTCGTTTTCGCCGACGGGTCTGTTTTCGCTTTGCGAGTTTCCACAATAAAGACGGAAACGCGTCGAGACGTCCAGCGCCGGGCTGGAACGCCGAGGCGCTTCTGACGGATGCCGACGGGAACGTGCAGCACCTGTGAGATATCATCAGGCTACGCGCCTTCAAGGTCGTATGTTCCTCTGTCTCGGCTGTTCTGACAGTTCCAGGTGTAGGAGGTCAGGAATCTAAATGTCGGCCTTTTTCTTCCTTAGCCCCCGTGTGGTAGAGCAGGCTTTCTCCGTGACACCAAATACCTCCCGCGCTCCATCTCTTAATGCCAAATGTCCGTTTGCATGCAACATAAACAACTTTGGCATGCTTTTCTTTTTCCTTGTTCTCCAAAATGATAGATTCTTTTTTTGTCATATTCCTTCACTTCTTTTGATTTTTAAATCAGATTGTTAATGACTAGCTCTGTCAGCTCTGCGTCTGTAATGCTTTTGATTATAGATTTCCTGCCTTTTTAAAACTTCTTGAGGAATTTGTAAGAAATAACTGGATTTTCTTTTAACAGTTAATCTGGTTTTTGTAGTTGGATTCTGGGAAATGCGTTCTGTTTTGTTTAGACCGCACTGGGCATGCTATCTTGTTCTGAAACCTGCTCGTGTTGGATGTTCCCTCGCTAGTTCCTGAACTGGATGATCAGTTAGACCAGTGTTTCTCAACTCGGTCCTCAGGGACCCGCAGACTGTCCACATTTTTGCTCCCTGCCAGACTGTCCACATTTTTGCTCCCGGAGGACCAGATTGAGAAAGA